CTTATAAGTGGAGATGCATTCTAAACATAGATGATTTTAAACATAGAATGGAATACCTATATAATTTTTTCCTTTGTGGCATGTTGCACTACCATGAGGCTGAATCCAGTTAATGGGCCTTGAGCCAATTTTACAAAAGTTGGGCATTGAGGGGATAGAAACAGAGGGCCACACGATCTCAAAACCAGATGGTAAAATTAATTGAAACAAGGTTCTGATGTAATCACCAACATGCCCTGTTAATGCAGAGTTATTTCAGTTTGAATCAGAGCTTTCAGTTGCCTTTGATCAAGTCAAACAGAAAGTCCATGTAACTCTAAAGGCATGATTTTGTACCATAGATGGTCTACTGAATATTTTACATGGCACTCATGTGTCTACATAATGATAAGGTGGACTGATGAAGTTGATTAATTTGTTACATGTTCTATGATTCTTATTTGCTAATAATGTTTGAGAAATGAAATTCCTATTGTATCCAATCAGTAATGCCTTCCTTATAAACCACTCCTTACCCCCCTTTTTAATGGAGCCGGTTTTCCTTCCCGTCAAGTCCTCCTAAAAGAAAAAGAATACCATTCCCTTCCCTTCCACCGGGAAGTGCATGCGTACGTCTATGTAACCAAGGTTTGTGTCAACGCCAAATGTCAATTTTCTCATTAAACAGGGAAAAAGAGGAGGATGAGTAAACAGAAATTGCTATGAAGTTTCCAGTTCATCTATGCGTGTTTAGACACATTTGTGTTTGTTTGTGTTTTCTTTGCTGGGGAGCAGTAGAGATGAAGAGAAATGATAAGCTAAACGAGATTTTAAAGTGATTGGAACACCTGAATGGGTTGATAAACATGACCCAATTTCCCTGGGATGTCATCAGATCAAGAGATCTCCATGTTAGTTCCAGCTGTGCTGCTTATTAGTTGTATGAGCTTGGATAAGTCACACAGGCTAACTTCAGCTCTCTAAAATAATATGTCTTTCCATTCATTCACCAAACATTGGACACACTGCACTTGCCACCACACATCCAGCCAGGCACTGAGACACATCAATGACAAGATGGTTTTGCCTCAAGGAACATCAACTTTAGAGAAACAGTGATTCTATGGCTGACATTCTAGAGAAACAACCCATGGCTTTTAGTGCAATAAAGACATTAACTTCAACGAGAAGAAGTTTAGTGTAATAAAGATATTAACTTCAACTAGAAGAAGTTTATATGGGAAGTTTATTCACGGGTCAGTGTCATCCAAGGAAATGTCAACCTTGACCTGATGCTTTAGAAAACAAAACAAAACTGTTTTAAAAAATCATTTTATTAGGGCTCCTTCAACTCTTTTTATTTTTATTTCTTTATTTTATTTTATTTTATTTTAATTTTAATTTTTTAACATTTTATTAGGGGCTCATACAACTGTTATCCCAATCCATACACACATCAATTGTGTAAAGCACATTTGTACATCGTTTCTCAAAACATTTTCTCTCCACTTAAACCCCCGACATTAGGTCCTCAAACTCTTATCACAATCCACACATACATCAATTGTGTGAAGCACACTTGTACATTTGTTGCCCTTATCATTTTCAAAACTATCGCTTTCCGCTTGGGCTCCTGGAATCAGCTCCTCATTTTTCTTTACTCCTTTCCCGCTCCCTCCTCCCTCATAAACCCTTGATCATTTATAAATTATTATTTTATCATATCTTACACTGCACAGTGCAAAACAAATCTTTTTATTCTTATTTGAGTGAAAATTTACAGAGCAAATTTGTTTTCCATCCAACAAGCCCTAGACATTCAGTTTCATGCCCTTGACTGTAGTCCTCACAATGGTGACAGCACTCTTCCCATGTCCTTTCTGGGCTTCTCACGTCCCTCTCGCCACCTGAGCCTTGTCCTGGGCACATGCTGCCCTGTTAGTGTTGTCTGCTTCATTGCTTGGCAGTGCACACACACCTCCCTGGGAAAAGTAGGACTGGCCAAGTGAGTCAAAGTAGTTGATAGCATTGCTGCTGTGAGATTTATTTTGAATGGGAAGTATTTAAAATATGGCAACTTACCATGCAAATCAGAGTCATAGTCTCACTGTAGAGTTTTTACAGGTGAGTATGGTTTTGTGATATAAATATTCCCCACACTATAATGATCTGTTCCTTTAATTATTTTGCTTTGTGTTCTTTTGTTCTAGTGTTCCTTTGGGCAGCAGGGAGAATATCTCAGACCCCAACTCACCAGTGAGAACCACATTTGTGTACCATATGACTGACCTGTAAGAAAATTTCCTTCATAGTAATATAGACATGGATGTTAATAACTTTTGACTATCTTGTGCATAAGAATGTTTATGAAATTATGAGAGTATCAATATTACAAATATAATTGGAATTTTAAAAAGTTATTCATTTTTAGAAATTATCATAAATTCACAAATCTTTATCACAGACAGATAAAAATCATCTGTAAATCTGCTATAAAGAAGTCATTGTCATTAGAGCAGGAAGGGCTTATTTATACTAATGTTTCAATAGGCGGACTTCAGATATATGAACAGGCAGATATTTCTTTGGCAACTGTACAAGCCACCATCCCACGCTTTTTAAAAATTTGAAATGTTATCTTCCTTGTCACTATACATTTAAACATTAATGTTTACAGTTCTGATTAACCTTACCCTACTAGCAGTTGCCGTATGCACGTGTATGGATAGAAGAATGTCGTCTGACCAGCTATCTGGTTTGGGAAACCCTGGTGGCCAAGTGCGTAAACTGGGCTGTTAAACCGGGTCAGACAGCTTCAAACTCCAGGTATTCCCTGGGAGAAAGATGAGACTTTGTATTACTGGACAGACTTACAGTCTTAGCAACTGGCAGGGGCAGTTCTACCTGATCCTACAGGGTCGCCATGAGTCTGAAATGGCTCGATGGCAGTGAGTGAGTGAGTGAGTGAGTGAGTGAGTGAGTGAGTGAGTAAGTGAATGGGTGAGTGAATGGGTGAGTGAGTAGGTGGGTGGTTGTGTGGGTGAGTGAGTGGGTGGTTGGGTAAGTGAGTGGGTGAATGAGTGAGTGGGTGGTTGGGTGAGTGGGTGAGTGAGTAGGTGGGTGATTGGGTGAATGAGTGAGTGGGTGGTTGGGTGGGTGAGTGAGTGGGTGGTTGGGTGAGTGAGTGAGTGGGTGGGTGGTTGGGTGAGTGAGTGGGTGAATGAGTGAGTGGGTGAGTGAGTAGGTGGGTGGTTGGGTGGGTGAGTGAGTGGGTGGTTGGGTGAGTGAGTGGGTGGGTGGGTGGGTGAGTGAGTGATTGGGTGGGTGAGTGGGTGAGTGGGCGATCTTGTGA